TATATATATATATATATATATATATATATATATATATATTATATATATATATATATATATATATATATATATATATATATATATATATATATATATATATATATATATATATATATATATATATATATATATATATATATATATATATATATATATATATATATATATATATATATATATATATATATATATATATATATATATATATATATATATATATCAATGATCATAGACACACATACGCACATATATATCCATATGTGTGTGTGTCTGTTTGTGAGTTTTTGTGTATGTGTGTTTATTAGTCTGTCTATATATACGAGGATAATTGCATAAGTACATATACACATACATGAATACATAAATACATAATATATAAAATTGCATAAACATATGTGTGTGTGTGCGTGTGTGTGTGTTTGTTTATTTATGAAAATATATAACTCTGTATATGAGTGTATACATGTAAGGACTATGACCAGAAGATATTTTGGCGAAATATAGGGAGACAGAGACAGACAGACAATGAATATGCTTAGAAATCATTACTATTTTAAATAAGTACAGACTCCACTTGTCTTATCAAAGGGGCAAGCACAAAAAGTGAATAGCGGTCTGATAAACCTTGCGACAGCTGCACTTTGACCCTTGCGCTCTGTATAAAGGGCTGTGGAGCTGCTACCTCGTCACCAGTAACATGAAGGTCCTCGTACTGCTCGCTCTCGTCGCGATTGCGGCTGCCTGGCCGAACCTCGGTTTCCAGGCGGATGGTGCAGGTTAGTTTTACGTGTACATACTCCATGAAGCTGTGTTCTGTCACATAACTTTTCTAACCAGCTACTTCCTTTATTCCTTGTTCTAAATAATTAAACTTTGAACTTAATATTTCACTCTCACTTGCTAATCGTTTTTTGCTTATTTCTCTTCCTTTCTCTTTTGCTTTCTGCTCTTCATTTATTTCTTTTCTTTCACCGCGTTTTACCCATTTCGTCTTCGACTTAATTGTTTACTTTCTTTCTCATTTAATTTGCCTCCACTCTAAATATATTTTAGCCTCGCTTCCAGTTGTTTCCTTTATTGATCTAATTTCTGTAATCTTTATGTACTATGAAGTAAAATAAATTCCATTCATGTACAAAAAGCAAATAAAGGTACATGCATACCATTGTTTACCAGGCGGGAAAGGGTGAATTATATCTCTTCTTCTAGGCGTGTCAGATGCCCAGAAACAGCATGACGTCAACTTCCTGCTTCACAAGATCTATGGGGAAATCCGTGACTCTAATCTAAAAGCTAAGGCTGATTCCTTTGACCCGGAAGCCGATTTATCCCACTACAGTGATGATGGTGCAGCTGTCCAGAAACTTATGAGAGACCTGAAGGATCACAGACTTCTCGAACAGAAGCACTGGTTCTCTCTCTTCAACCCAAGACAACGTCAGGAAGCACTCATGCTTTTCGACGTTTTCATTCACTGCAAGGATTGGGATACATTTGTCAGCAACGCTGCCTACTTCCGTCAGCGTATGAATGAAGGAGAGTTTGTCTATGCCCTGTATGTTGCAGTCATCCACTCACCTCTGGCTGAACACGTTGTACTTCCTCCACTCTATGAGGTCACACCTCATCTCTTTACAAACAGTGAAGTCATTGAAGCAGCGTATCGTGCCAAGCAGACACAGACCCCTGGTAAATTCCAGTCTTCCTTTACTGGAACAAAGAAGAATCCTGAACAGAGAGTAGCCTATTTCGGAGAGGACATTGGAATGAACACTCACCACGTTACCTGGCACATGGAATTCCCATTCTGGTGGCAAGACAGTTACAGTCATCATCTGGACCGCAAAGGAGAGAACTTCTTCTGGGTACATCATCAACTTACCGTTCGCTTTGATGCCGAACGTCTATCTAATTACTTGGATCCCGTGGTGAACTTCACTGGGATAAACCCATCGTACAAGGTTTTGCTCCCCACACCACTTACAAGTATGGCGGTCAGTTCCCCTCTCGTCCAGATAATGTAGACTTCGAGGATGTGGACGGTGTTGCCCGAATTCGAGATCTGCTCATTGTTGAGAGCCGAATTCGTGATGCCATTGCCCACGGATACATTGTTGACAGGGCTGGCAATCGCATTGACATCATGAATGAGCGTGGTATTAATGTCCTCGGAGATATCATTGAATCATCAATGTACAGTCCTAATGTCCAATACTACGGGGCGTTGCATAACACTGCCCATATTGTACTCGGACGACAGGCCGATCCACATGGAAAATACGCCTTACCACCTGGTGTGCTAGAACATTTCGAAACTGCCACCCGTGATCCCAGTTTCTTCAGGCTACACAAAATATGGATAATATCTTCAAGGAACATAAGGATTCCCTTCCTCCATACACTAAGGAACAACTGACATTCAATGGGTTAGTATTGAGAACCTATCCGTTGACGGTGAATTAGAGACCTTCTTTGAAGACTTCGAGTACAGTCTAATCAA